ACTTTCTTTTTATGGAAAGAGTGGAAGAATGCTTCCATGTTTTACAATATCACCTTTAAATCAGACTCTCCTAATACCTTCCAAAAAAAATTTGAAATCTAATTCCAATGTGAAGAATAACACAAAATTGTATCTATAACTTATTGGTAATAGTTTATTTTATCCAGCTCTAAAACATCAAATACATGAATAAATACCAACAAAACTTGTTATTTCCATACAAACCCAAGACTTTTGCTACACATAACTTTTAGTTTGGAGAACACCAGCTTGGCAAAGTGTTCTCCAAAGGTTTACATTTAACTGAGCTTAACTTTTAAAGAGTGATTTAGAATCCAGAGTGTATGGTAACAATAATCACAGGTGTGAATTGGTTAACAAAAATCAAAGGATAGCCATAAATCTCTTACACATTTAATATTAGATATGGAAAATGACAAACCCCCAAATAGTGTGGTCTAGGAAGAGGGAGTAAAGAGGAAAGCAGCACATTGATGGCATTGATCCTTTCCTAATGATAAAACAATCCCTAGAAAGGAAGCCAAAGAATGAAAACAAGTTTTTGTTTCTCTGGTATAAGTGCCTCAGTGTGCAGGTTATGTGTAATTGCTTGGGTAGTTTATAAGAAACTGCCAAATGGTTTCCTACAGTAACTACATAGTTTTACACTCCTACTAGCAATGTATGAGTTATCTAGTTTCCCTACATCCTTGCCAGCATTTGGTGGTGTTACTGTTTTTTGGTTTAATCATCTTGATAAGTGTGTAGTGGCTCGTATCTGTGGTTTTAATTAAATTAACTAAGTTGGACATTAATGGTTAATGATAGATGGTTGAACATATTCTCATGTACTTATTTGCCATCTGTCTTCTTTGTTGAAATGCATCTTTTGAGCATTTTCTAATGAATGGCTTATTTTTGTACTATTGATATTTGACAGTTCTTTACATATTCTATATACTAGTCCTTTTCAGATATGTGTTTTGCAAATATTTTCTACCAGTCTGTTGCATATATTTTCATCATTTTTTCATAGAACTTCATGGATAAATTGTAACTTCAAAGAAGATTTATAATTTCTTCTTTGTGTAGTTCATGTTTTTGGTATCAATTCTAAGAATTATTGCCTAGCTTTAGATTCCAAAGTTTTTCTATTTTTTTCTAAAATCTTATTATTTTACATCTTATATTTAAATCTGTGATCCATTTTGAATTAATTTTTATGTAGGTGTCAGTTTAAGAATGAAATTTATTTTTGGGTGAAGTATTTAAAAACAAATCCTAGATAATCATTACATTTCAGTATATTTCTCTAAAATATAAAGATGTTTCTTAAAACCATTCTCACTATGAGTGAAATTAATGATAACTGTTTAATATATTATAATAGCCTGTGTTCTGATTTTTCTAATTGCTCACAAAATATCTTTTTATAGCACTTAGTGGTTAAATATTTCTGTTTTATTATTGAACAACATCTTCCCCTATTCTTATGCCTTGACTTAAAGAGACTGGGCTAATTGGTTTGTAGAGTATTGCACTTTCTAGATTCAGCTCATGGTTTCCTTGCCTTTGCAGAATTAATGTTTAGAAAGATAACTATAATAAGCAAATAATTATAAATTTGTTGATTAGAAGAAAATAACTTTTTTTAAGACAATGACTTTTTGAGCTAAAATTTAAGTTGAGAGATAAGTGTGCCAGGTAGAAGGAATGTAACACATGAAGACTTGGAGGAAGAAAACACACTAGTTTGGCTGGCACTTGATGAATAAGGAAGAATATGACATGCTGTTGGAGACACATGCAGGAGTCAGATAACTAAGCGCCTTGGAAAATTGTGGAAGGGAAGTCAATAGGTACATAATCTGACTCTGTTGATGTTTTAAAATGCCCACCTTGGTTGCTTTATGGAAACTGTATGAAGGTCCAGTGGGGACTGTGTGGATTCAGATAGTCAGGAATCGAGAGTAAAAACTGAGAAATCTTATTAGGCTGTTGCAGTAGCCTGATGATGAAAATGGTAGTTGCTTGTACTGCAATGGTGATAGAAAGTAGTAGATAGTTTCTGTAGGTAAAATGGACAGACGCTTGGTAATTGTGAAAAAGGATCGGGAGGGACAGAGAGTGATAAAGGATGGTGCTAATAGTTGAATATTGAATGTCATCCCCCTACCCATGTGTTTACTTTTGGTGTCTTTTGGGAGATGGTGGAATTTTTAGGAGGTAGAACATTGTAGGAGGTGCATAGGTCACTGGAATTGTGCCATAGAAGAAGATCATGGGATCCTGATCTCTTTCCTCTTCCTTTTCTCTTTTGCTTCCTGGCTCACGATGTGAGTAGTTTGCTCCCTGTTTGCTTCCCACCATTACCATGTAGCACCCCCATCAGAAACCCAAAATGATGAGTCCACCTGAACTTGGACTGGAATCTCCAAAACCATGAATCAGAGTAAACCTTTTCTGTTCATAGGTTAATTATCTCAGATATTTTATTAAAATAACAAAAAACTGACTACTACACATAGCAACTGGGCATTTGTTTAAACAGTTGAGCAGATAGAGATTCATTTTCTGAGATGAATCAGAAAAATTAATCTGGTTTCTAGTTTGTGACAAATTTAATCATGTGGAATATAGTCTTCTGTTTTTCTGTTGTTAGTAAATTAGGTATAGATGTTGAATTTTATCAGATACCTTTGTAAGTTTTCTTATTTACGTTTGTTTCTATATTTAATATAATTGTGTTACTATAGTTTTAACTTTAACATAGAATAATTTAAATAGCTTAGGAATTACTCAGAAAACTAAAAGAATTCACCATTGAGTCCTCCAAGTCTCATACTTATTTTTGAAGAACAATACTTTTTCTGAATATTATCTGTATTTATTAGCGAGACTAAGGTGTCTGTATTTTTTTTCTTAAAAAAATTATTTCTGGGCTGGGGATGTGGCTCAAGCAGTAGCGCACTTGCCTGGCATGCACAGGGCACTGGGTTCAATCCTCAGCACCACATAAAAATAAAGATGTTGTGTCCACTAAAAAATAAATATTAAAAATTTTTCTCTCTCTCTCTCTCTCTCTCTCTCTCTTTAAAGAAAATTATTTCTTAATTGTAGTTGGACACAATATCTTTATTTAATTTATTTTTATGTGGTGCTGAGGATCAAACCCAGGGCCTCACATGTGCTAGGTGAGCACTCTACCACTGAGCCACAACCCCAGCTTTGTCTTTTCTGGAGTCGATATATTTTTTCCCTGTCATCCTTTTCAGTTTTTCAAGTTTATTAAATTATTGCTATAATTTTTAAATTGCTACTTTTTCACATTTGAATACATTTTTAAATAGTTTTTTAACCTTTTATTGATTGATTGATGTATTTTTATGTGGTGTTGAGGACTAAACCCCCAGTGCCTTACCCGTGTGAGGCAGCCTTACCCATGCGAAGCAAATATTCTACCACTGAGCTACACCCCTAGCCCCTGAATACATTTCTTTTATTCTGTCCTCATGGTTAGATTAATAGAGAGATTTCTTTTGTTTAAAAAAACTCTTGGTATTATTTATCAATTTTATTGTTTTCTCCTTAAACATTCATTTTTGCTTCTTTATTTTTCCTCTTTAGCTAAGCTTAAATATTTGAATTTTTTTTGTACTTTTTGAATGCTTTATTACTTTATTTTTAATTTTTTTCTTATTTAATTAGAAACATAAGATAATGAATTTTCTCCTGGGCATAATTTTGGCCATATCCCAAAGACTTTAATATTAATATATTTATTATCAACATTTTCTAAATAATCTGCCTTGGGAGTTAAATTATTTAGATGAGAGTTATAGAAATAGCTTATGATCAATAAATTTCATTTGATTTGTTTTAATCTGGGGAATATGCTGGGATGTTTTTGAGTCATAATGTATGTTAAATTGTTATAATGTCCATGAGAAGAGTACCTATAGTATATAAAGTTAAACATTTGTCCATTCGATGAGGATGGGATATGCAGAGAGCATTGATCATCTTAGGATGATTAGGAAAGGTCTCTTGGATAGACAGATTTAAATGAAATGAGGGAACAATAAAAGCAAATGCCTTGATAAATTGTCTATGTTTTACTTAACTGAAAGATTTAATCTCAAGTCTGTCTTTCTAATTAATCTATTGTGTACTTATACTTCAAAAATGCTGATTCAGAGAACACCTCTTTGCATTGTTATATAAAGCATTTTTAATGTCATCACATTTGGCTTTAAGTACCATAAACTGATTAGCTTATAAACTAAGAAGTTTATTTCTCATAATTCCAGAGACTGAGATGTCTAATATCAAGGCCAATTTAGTGTCCGATGAGGACCTGTTTCCTACATCACAGATGGTGCCTACTTGCTTTGGCCTCACAAGGTAGAAGAAGCAAATGAGCTTCCTTGGATCTTTTTATAAGGCACTAATCCAATCTGTGAGCACTCCACCCTTGTGAACTAATTATCTCCCGGAGGCCTGAATGCCTAATATTATCACTTTGGGGATCAGGATTTCAACATGTGTATTTGGAGTGGAGCTACAACAACCTCCAATTTCTATCCCTCCAAATGTGAGATACATGAGAGAGCTTTTGCAGAATTTTGTATACTTCAGGTTTTGTTTTTTTAACTACTTACATTATCAGTTCTGCTATTGCCACTCTATAAGGAATTCACATAGATTACCATCTTGTTTTAGTTAAACTTGTACTATAATTAGATAGTACTTTTTCAATTGCGTTGTGTGTGATTAGGGTGTTCATGTAGTTTCTCAGTGGTGGTGTTTTCTTTGCAATTTCTACCTATCTTCTTTGCTTTGAGTTTAGGGAATGGGGCTCCCATAAGCTAGTATCTATGCAACTATTTTCCTAGAAGTCTGCTTTTCTCATTTTATTGAATACTTAAAGAAAAGTCATTTATTAGAATAACTTGTCAGTCTTAAGTTTCAAATTAACTGTTTTTTTAATGACTCAACAGGTTGGAATTAGAGGCACCAATATAGTTGTGCTTGGAGTAGAAAAAAAATCTGTTGCTAAACTTCAAGATGAAAGAACTGTGAGGAAAATTTGTGCTCTTGATGATCATGTCTGCATGGCTTTTGCAGGTACTTATGGACCAACAATAATGATGCATAATAGTAGTCTAGTGCAGTGGGGCAACACAGTTGGCCCTACTACTGCAATTTGCTGTATATATGCAGTATATATAGTTATACTTCATAGCTTATTGAAAGCAAACAATATAACATTTGTAAAAGAAAATTGTGACTTTATAAACTGGGATTTATGATAATGCTTTGATAATAAAGCATAAATGTTAGAAGAAGTATTTTAACTCCTTAGAACTTTAGGGAGCAGTTCTCCTTTTAAGCTGTTTGTGTGTGTGTGTGTGTGTGTGTGTGTGTGTGCGCACACGCACTTTGTTTTGTTTTTGTAGTGCTAGGGATTAAACTCAGGACTTTATGCATGGTAGGTATACACTCTAACATTAAGCTATATACCTAGCTACTATAAACTTTTTTTTTGGGGGGGGGATACTGGAGATTGGACCCAGAGGTGCTCAATCCTTAAGTCACATCTCTGGCCTTATTCATTTTTAAAAAATTTTTATTTTATTTTTTTAGTTGTTGATAAATCTTTATTGTATTTCTTTATATATGGTGCTGAGAGTCAAACCCAGTGTCACACATGCCAGGCAAGTGCACTACCACTGAGCCCAGCCTCAGCCCCGCTTTTTATTATTTTAGTTTGAGACAGGGTCTCTCTAAGTTGCTTGGGGCTGGCTCTGAACTTGTGATCCTCCTGCCTCAGTCTCCCAAGCCACTATAGGATTACAGGTGTGTGCCACTGCACCTTCTAACTATCAACTTTTTATTTTGAAATACTTATAGATTCCCAAAAAGTTTCCAAAAATCTCAGGAAAGTTCACTTTAACTTTACCCAGTCTCTCTCAATAGCCATACCTAACTAAATGAACCTGTACTTGTGGTAAGTATAACTACAAATATGCACATATACATGCAATTGAATGCATATAAAACTGGTGAAATCTGTAAAAACTCTTTAAATATACAAATAAGAATTTATGGGTTTTGAAGGTATGGCCATTATTGAATCAAAATAAGAAAAAAAGGGAATTTTACTGCCAATTTTAGAGAAATAGAGGATTTTAAGAGAGTACTATTGTATACCAACAAAATTTCTTCAAATACACAGATCCCTTTAAGTACTCAATATGAAACTTAAAATCTCAATAGGCATAACAAAGAAATTGAATCAGTTACCAAAGATTCCCAACAAAGAATAGTCCAGGATCTAATGACTTCACTGGTAAATTCTACCAAACATTTTAAAGAGGAATTAATAAATCATTTTCAAACTTGTCCAAAAAATTAAAAAGAACACCTCTAAATTAATTTTATGAGACTGATATTATCAAGATGCCAAAAGCAAAGATACTACAAGAAGATAAAATTATAGAAACAGTGTTGCTGATGAACAGTGATATAAAAATATCAACAAAATACTAGCAAACTGAATTCAACATATTAAAAGGATCATACCTCATGACCAAGTGGAATTTATTTTTGGAGTGTAAGGATGGTTTGGCATAAGAAAACTAATCAATAAAATACATCATATTAACAGGAAAAGAATATTCAAGGAAAAAATACATGATCTTATCATTTAGTACAGAAAAATGCATTTGACAAGGGGCTGGGGATGTGGCTCAAGCGGTAGCGCGCTCTCCTGGCATGCGTGCGGCCCGAGTTCGATCCTCAGCACCACATACCAACAAAGATGTTGTGTCCGCCAATAACTAAAAAATAAATATTAAAAATTCTCTCTCTCTCTCTCTCTCTCTCTCTCTCCCTCTCCCTCTCCCTCTATCACTCTTTCTTTAAAAAAAATGCATTTGACAAAATTCAAAATTATACTCCTCAGAAGACACTCAGTAGGGGCTGGGGCTGTAGCTCAATGGCAGATTACTTGCCTTGCACAAGGGAGGCACTGGGTTCGATCCTCAGCACCACATAAAAAAATACACATAGTAATAACGTGTAATAATAAAGGCATGCTGTCCATCTACAACTACAAAAAAGTGTTAAAAAACACTCAATAACTACAGAATAAAAGGAAATACTTCAACATAATTAAGATCACATATGAAAAACCCACATCTTATTGGTAAAACACTGAAAAGCTTTTCTTCCAGAATCAAGAATAAGACAAGGGTGCCTCTTTTGCTCTGCTCCTATTCAATATAGTAATGAATGTCCTATTCAGAGTAGTTGTGCATGAAAAAGAAACAAAAGGCATCCAAATTATGAAGGAAGAAGTAAAATGTTTACAGACATTGTGATCTTATAAGTAGAAACTCTATCAATTCCACACAAAAATATTGTTATAAATAATGAATTGAACAAAGTTGCAGGGCACAAAATCAAAACTCAAAATATCAGGTGCATGCTCTCATAGAGTATTAACCCTAGTATGCTCAAGGCCATGGGTTCAATTCCCAGTACAGCAAAGAAAAAAAAAGATATAAAAGAATTCAGTCATTTCTAAACGTAACAGTGAGAAATTTGAATAGTAACTTTTAAAAATTTTGTCATGCTAGGCACAGAGGTGCATGCCTTTAATCCTACTTACTTAGGAAGCTGAGGCAGGAAGATCACAAGTTCAACTTGTAACAACTTAGAGAGACTGTCTCGAATAAAGAACTAGTAAGCACCATTTACTAGTTCTTTATTTATTTTGAGATAGAACTGTCTCAAAATTCTGACAGGAGATGGTACTAAGAGGCAGAATATTTCTAGTTTCAATCTGTATTCACACACATACACAGAATTCATTTACAGTAACATCAAAAAGAATAAGATACTATTTTAGAATAAACTAACAGGAGGTAAAAGACTTCTATGCTGAAAAATATGAAATGTTGCTGAAAGAAATTAAAGAAGATACAAAGAAGTAAATGCCCCTCATTTATGAACTGGAAGACTTAATTTATTATGAACATACCAGTACTATCCAGGCAGTATACAGCTTCAGTGGCATTCCTATCAAAATCCCAATGATATTTTTAATAAAATCTATTTGAAATTTACAAAATCTCAAATGGCCCTGAATTGCCCAATCTTAGAACAAAGCTGGAGGTCTCATATTTCTTGATTTAAAAACTCAATACAGAGCTGGGATTGTGGCTCATCGATAGAGTGCTCACCTAGCACATTCGGGTTCGATCCTCAGCACCACATAAAAATAAATAAAGATATTGTGTCCAACTGCAACTAAAAAAAATAAATAAGTACTTTTTTAAAAAGACCTCAATACAAATGGGCATGGTGGAGCACACCTGTAATTGCAGCAGTTTGGAGGCTGAAGCTGGAAGATCACAAGTTCAAAGACAGCCTCATCAACTTAGTGAGACCCTGTCTCAGAATAAAAAGTAATGTGGGCTAGAGATGTTGCTCACTGGTTAAGCACCCCTGGGTTCAATCCCTGGTACCAAAACACACACACACACAAACGTTCTGAAGTCCTTATTCCCACTGAGTTCAAAGCCAGACTTCGTTATCTACTATACCTGGACTATGGAAAGAGTACTTGAATGCCCCTTTCCTCGCTTTACTCATCCATTTGAGTACTTCATTGATTTGTTACAAGAATTAAGGGAGTAATACATATGATTCATTGAAATAGTGTCTGGGCACAGTGGTAATTCCAGCGACTCAGGAGGCTAGGTAGGAGAATCACAAATTTCAGGCCTGCCTCAGCAACTTAGTGAGGCCCTAAGCAACATAGTGAGACCCTGTCTCTAACAAATGAAAAGATCTCCGGATGTGGCTCAGTGACAAAGTGTCCCTGAATTCATCCCCAATACCAAAAAGAAAAAAAAGATGTCTGACGTGTGTTGAACAGATATTATTATTACTACTAGTAGTACCATATATGGTTAATATATAAAAAGCTCAGGCACAATGGCACAAGACTGTAATCCCCGTAGCTCAGGAGGCTGAGGCAGGAGGATCATGAGGTCAAAGCCAGCCTCAGCAAACTAGCTAGGCCCTAAGTAACTTAGCAAGACCCTGTCTCAAAATAAAACATAAAAAGGGCTGAGGATGTGGTTCAGTGGTTAAGCACCCTCAAGTTCAATCCCTGGTACCTAAATAAATAAATAACAAGAAAGGATGTGGCAAAATAGCTTAAGAAAGTATCCATTTTATATTTATATGAATATACATGTATAATATAAAGCAATTATAATATAAAATGGCAAGTTACAGAAGAACATGTATAATATAATTATATTTATGAATTTTGGAATGGTAGCTTTTGTTTCCTAGTTATAGTGAGCATATATAAAAAATATATTTTCACTTTGAAAAAAATGACATTTTGTTGATATTGTTATACTGTGCTTTAAATGTTTAGGAAACAAACCTTCAGAAGAATGAAAGAATCTTTTTAAATTATATATCATATGGAGTTCCATTGTATAAATTTTATATGATGATAGTATTTTTAAGATAATGTGGTATAAATTTAAAATAAATTGAGAGCTCATTTGTTCTATGTGTGGCTTGCTTTTAAACAAAATGAAATTATGATTTTAAATGCTTTCCCCAAATAGAATTTGTTCTCTTTTGCCTAACCAATTGATGGATATAATTGCTACTTATATTCAAAACAGACATATAAAACTGTATTACTTATAAAGTTTGGCAAATTTATCATTGATTTTTTTTCTTTGAATCAGTTATATTTACTACTTCTTTATGTCACTTGGTTTTGTATCACATTTCACATTGTAAAGAGAAAATACTTTGGCATACCATATCTGATTATATTTCTTTTTTAAAAAAAATTTATTAATTGCTCAAGACAATACAATGACATATCATATATTTGATCCAATACAAAATTACATATCTGATTATATTTCTAATTGAAGATTTTTGTTTGTTTTAAATTTTTTGCAGTATTGACTATTATACCTAGGGTTTCCTGTATGCTAGGCAAGTGTTCTACCATTGAACTACATCCCTATTGCTTTAAATTAATTGACTAATTAAGACAGATCCTTGCTGAGTTGCCCAGGCTGGCCTTGAACTTTTAGTCCTTCTGCTTAGTCTTCCTAGTGCCTGTGATTACAGGTATGTGCCACCATGCCAAGCAAACTGACTGAAGTTTTCATCTGTAGGGTAAACTAATCAATCTCTTGCTGTTTCTTTATCTTAGATAACTTTCGCAAAGAGAAGAGAATTGGTTTCTTTTCTTTAACTGTGTATGTGATGATGATTCACACCCTACATGAGTGTTAGGGGGATTGCAAACAGAGGTTCAGACAGTTTCTTCATTGTTAGCTAACATTATCTGTCTTCAGATTCTTTCAGGTTTCTAGAAATAGGTTTTGAAACTCTGTTGAAGGGAATCCATGAAAGATGGATAGCTATGTGAGAAAGATTTTATAAAACTGTGTTTCTTGTTTTTTTGGTTTTTTTTTTTTTTTTTTTTGGTCAATCTAGTTAGTATTAAGAGAATGGGGAAAGAAAATGGCAAAATAAAAGTCAAATGCTAAATAAATCCTTAATACAAATGTTTGTGACCATTTTATCAGTTAAAGTTTGTAGTCAGTTTGTTATTCCTTTGATAGAACACATCTGTTTCCTTATGGAAGTATTGAGAACTAATCACAAGACATTTTGATATACTGTAAAAGCAAAGTCATATGTTTTCTTTTTCTGGCTGGGTGCAGTGGTGCACACCTATAATCCCAGCTACTCTGGAGGCTGAGGCAAGAGGACAAGCTCAACCAATGGGGCAAGACTGTCTCAAAATAAAAAGTTTAGAGTTGGGTTGTAGCTCAGTGGTAGAATACTTGCACAGCATGTTATAGGCCCTGGATTTTTCCCCAGCATTGAAAAAAAGTTTCTTTTTTTCTGTTTCAACATCTTGATTTTTAAATCTTGATCTTAGGCCAAAAAAATTATGGTTTTATTAAATGCAGTTTTAATTCAGTGGAAGTATGTTTCACAATATAAAGTAAAACTCTTATTTTCAGGAGATTAAATCTAGCTTATTATTACTGTTTAAATCATTCTTTTTACTGGGGATTGAACTCAGGGGCACTCAACCACTAAACCACATCCCCAGCCCTGTTTTTGTATTTAATTTAGAGACAGAGTCTCACTGACTTGCTTAACAACTTGCTTTTGCTGTGGCTGGCTTTGACTCGTGATCCTCCTGCCTTAACAGGAGCTGAACCCAAATCGCTGGGATTATGGTGTGTGCCACCATGTCTGGGTCTTTTTTTTTTTTTTTTGAGCTACATCCTTAGCCCCTAAACCATAAATCTTGAAAACTGTTTTCTTTACAAAAAAGAATGCATCAAATTAAGTTTGAAAGGAAATAAATCAGAATGTTTAAGTGACACCTTATATCATAATTCCTTTATAAAGGTCATGTATTGAGAAAAAAGATGTTATAAGAAAGGTTTGATTGGAGAAGGAAAATATGTATAATGAAAAAAAGTATTTTTGTAAAATTTTGACTATTTTTATAGGATTGACTGCTGATGCTAGAGTAGTAATAAACAGAGCCCGGGTGGAGTGCCAGAGCCATAAGCTTACAGTTGAAGACCCAGTAACTGTAGAATATATAACTCGCTTCATAGCAACATTAAAGCAGGTAAGCTAATATTCTATCAAGTTTCTTCAAATCAGTTAAAATATCTAATCTAGTAATAATCCATTGTTTTAGGTTCTGTCATAGAAACAGTACAGCTACCCCAAGCATTTGATCTATTAATCTACTAGATACTTTATTCTTTCTCACAGTTAATTCACAGTCACATTGTTATTCAGATAAAAATGCATTGACTTAATCAATAGATATCCCAGTCAATTTCAATTCTGGAAATTATATAAAACTTAAAAGAACATAAGTCTATAATCTTTTAAGGCAATTTCTACACTTCTGGAGATACAGATACTAGCATTCTTTAATTTTTTTTTCCAAAGAAATGCCCATTTTTTTCACCTATGAACCTAAACACAGCTGATCAAGTTTAGATATGACTTCTTCTGGAACCCATGCATAGATACGTGGTTTAATGATAAATGTAATTATGATGTATACAAGTATTATTTTTCTCTTGTTTTATGTGCATTTTGTCTATGGCAGCAGAGGCTGTGGATAGAATTTTTATGAAAAGAATTGTAAATTTGTAACAATGGGATTGGGACTGGTAAGGTCTGGGGCAGAAGATAGATCTCATGAGCACCTTTTGTTCTTTTATATTATTTTAACCCTGTGCATATATAATTTTTATTTAAAAAAATTGATGAAGGGGATATAGCTCAGTTGGTAGAGTGCTTGTCCCGCATGCACAAGGCCCTGGGTTCAATCCCCAGGACCACACACACACACACACACAAAAAAAAAGTTGATTAAGCAAAAAAAAAAGTAAAAAGTCTTCTCCTCTAAAGTATATTTACAGAGCAACTACTTCATGCCTAGAGGTATAGTAGGCACATTAGGAAGTACAGAGGAATTAACACATAAACTTTATTTTCAAAGAGGTTCAAGTTTAACTATTAACATTGAATTCTGAAGTGGCTTTTTAAAAATTCATATAATAAAATTGAAAAGTAAGAAAATAAATAGAAAGCTGGGTACCATGGCACATGCCTATAATCCCAGCAGCTTGGGTGGCTGAGACAGGAGGATCACAAGTTCAAAGCCAACCTCAGCAAAGGTGTTGCGCTAAGCAACTCAGTGAGACCCTGTCTCCAAAATACAAAACAGGATTTTGGGGATGTGGCTCAGTGGTTGAGTCCTCCTGAATTCAGTCCCAAGTACCCCCGCAAAAAAAAAAAAAAAAAAGGAAAATAGACACAATATATAGACAAGACCAGGAAGAAAGCTGCTATTAAGCTGTTTCAAACCACATAATTAAACACAAACACAGAATTTTATACAGTTTATATAAAGTTGCCCAAATTTTTAGTCCTTAGCTTTCTATCATGGCTGCTTTTTTGTATGACATGTAGGAGCACCAGTCTCAGTGTGAATTCCATCCTTGGAGCACAAATCCAGGAAGTTCCCTGGCACTGAATTAATAAGAAATATAATTGGTTTCCAGTGCCACTTTGTCTGTGAGAGAAAAAAAACAACATGCTTTTTATTCAAGAGAAACAAAGGGTTCCTTGTCTTGGGACTGAAAGAAATATCTCACTTGGGTTTTTAAGTAAAGATAACTTAGTATAAGTGAACAGAATATATTTGTTAATAATAGTATCAAGTAAGGATACTGGATGATAATAGTAGCAATTATAGTGTTCCTCCAGGTAAACCAAGGATGTGCTTCAAAAGTATACAACTCATTAAAGTCAGTTTTGCTGAGAACCAAGATGGGTATGGCATGAACACTGTTCTCTACTATTAAAGAAGTTACAGTCTAGTTTGTTACCAAAATGTACACAACACAATAGGAAAACATTCTGAGAACATGTAAGTCCCGAGTACCTCCCCCTGCAAAAATGAAAGGAAAATAGAAACAATATATAGACAAGACCAGGAAGAAAGCTACTATTAAGCTTTTTCAAGCCACATAATTAAACACAGACACAGAATTTTATATAAAGTTGGTTTTATTTTATAGATTGTATACATTAATTTCTTTCAAAATTTGTTATGAATTGAAATTAGTCCAGAAAGAATTCTAAAAATGTGTAGAATAAGAATTAGGAAGGGAGACCATTTTGATAGCAGTGCTCTATTAATTATTAGAATTTATATGTAATAATTAATAGTGTTATTCTAAAAATAAATTTTATTTTTCAGAAATATACCCAGAGCAATGGGCGAAGACCTTTCGGAATCTCTGCCTTAATTGTAGGTTTTGATGATGATGGTATCCCAAGATTATATCAGACAGATCCCTCTGGTACTTACCATGCATGGAAAGTGAGTCTTCAATTTGTTAATACTTTTTGAGAAATTGAATAAATGTTTTCACTTTTAAATGCTTAATAGCAGGCGGGGGTTGTGGCTCAGTGGTAGAGCACTTGCCTAGCATGTGTGAGGTACTAGGTTCGATTCTCAGCACCACATGAAAATAAACAAAGGGCCACCAACAACTAATAAAATATCTTTTAAAAATAAATAAATAAATAAATGCTTAATAGCTTTCAGGAACATGACAAAATTATGTTGCATTAAAATGTTTGCACTGGCCAGTGATATGAAAAATTGTGCTCTATATGTATAATGTAAATTTAATGAATCTTGTCATATATAACAAATTAAAATTAAAAAGCAAATGTTTGCACTGTCAAAACCTTTATAAATATAGTCAGCTGGTCAGAAATTATAATTTTTGGATAATGAAATGCCTTGGTGTTTATTAATCACAGGATCCTTTCCTTACTTTTGAAAAGATGTGACAGACCTAACTGACAAACCTAAATGGCCAAATAAAAGAAATACTGTCTAGTTTCTATTGAGCATTCATTTTTTTTCCAAATTAGTATTGCTTCATATAGATGCTTGTTTTGAGTAAAATAGTGTTTTTGCTTTTAGTGAAGAACTAGATGGGCGCTTAAACTCCATACTGAAATGCTTAATGTGTTCTCTATTCTAAGTCAGTCAGAGCACCCTAAACTCTGATATATACTTATTTGTTTAGTATACAGCAATGACCTCTACATAATTTGTGGAATGTAATTTGTTTCTTGAATAAATTGTTATTCTTGTATTTGTACCGAACTGCTTTGTTTATGGTGCACTCAAATCCAATAAAAAAAGCCCAGAAAAACTAGTAGCAGTTTCTAGAAATGAATTTTTATATAATCTTATAGAATAAGATGACAGTTCAGAAATGTGACTTTATCAAAAGTTTAAATACATAGGTTTTAAATAATTTCCTGCTGAGTTTAGTTTACTATTGCCAAATAAATTAAGTGGGAAACACTGCTATGGTCTTTATGCATGTCTTAAGAAATTGGTTGACTCTGATCATATGTGTAAGATACTGTTTCATAAACCAGTTAACCAGCTGGGTGCAGTGACACACACCTGTAATTCCAGAGGCTCAGAAGGCTACTACAAGAAGATTCCAAGTTTGCGGCCAGACTTAGCAACTTAATGAATCCCTAAGCAATTTAGAGATATCTCATCTCAAAATAAAAATGGCTGAGGATGTAGCTCAGTGTTAAAGTGCCTCTGATTTCAATCCTCAGTACCACAAAAATAAATCCATTTAACCAGATCACTAAAACAGTGGATTGTAATCTTCCAACAAATACCAGAATACTTGTGCCAGATGAAATCTTTGAATCTATTTGTGTAATCTAATTGGTAATAGAAGGTATGGTTTACCTGCTGCAAATATCAGAACTTTTTCATGCCAAGAATTTTTTAACATCTATTAGGTTTCTGTGCCTTCCAAATCAGTGACCTAAACAAAAGAAGTTAGTATATTCCCATCTTTAAATAATTTAAAGCCTGCCATCTTCTGTTTGCATTTATCATTACATTTAGTATTTATTTCAATACCATAACAGCAATTTCTAAGTTTACATGAAGTTTTCATTTTAAATTGCTTTCTGGGGACTTACAGAGAAGTATTTTAATTTTCTCTTGGGAAAATTATGGAATTCTTTTTATTAATATTTATTTTTAGTTGTAGTTGGACACAATACTTTTATTTATTTATATGTGGTGCTGAGGCTCAAACTCAAGGCCTCGCACGTTCTAGGCAAGCGCTGTACTGCTGAGCCAAAACGCCAGCCCTGGAATTCTTATAATTATTGTAAATTTTATTGATCATTTCATTGATTTGAACTGTGATCTGCTGTGGTGTCTTCAGGCCACATGATAGAGTTAAGAACATGTGAACAGTTGTGAATATGCACACACATGTGCCTCACTATTGTTATTTTACTCACTTCTTATACTATTTTTTTTTTGTAAGGCTTTGGTTGAAGGAAGTATTATGCAACTTAAAAACTCATCTATAATAAAACATTTGAAAAATTTTTTATTTTATGAATTTGGTAATTGAGATTCAGGGATTAAGAGATTGATTTAGGTTCAAATCCCTATTTAATAGCAACATTAAAATTAAAACTCAGTAAATACTGAAGCAATATTAGAATAAACATTTAATTCTTTCCACTATAACAAGTTACCACCCTTAGCCAATTGACACTCTGTACACATTATATAAATTCTGATATCCATTTTTGAAAGATAGAATAAAAACTGATTGGATTTCTACTTCTGAGGGAGTATAGCATTTTATCTATGATCAAGTTTTTTGTTTTGTTTTTCTGTGTTCCATTTGTTTGTTTTTATGATGACATATTATTTCACGTAGCCTAACAAAATGGTGCAGTGGACTGTTGGGAGCAGCCATGGCACTGACTGGAATTACAACACTTTGCAGTGCTAGATTTTAGTCTTACAAGGTACAGGAAGAATAACATATAGAATAGGTAATAGAAATGGGAAGTTATAAAAATAAACTGTCTTCATGACCTGTTATAGAAATGAGAATAGAAGTAGCTAATGCCAGTACTTTAGTTTGTTGAGGGATCATTACCTGGCACATGACACAGCTTTCCTTCCTTCCTTCCTTGTTACTGGGGGTTGAACCCAGGAAACCCCACCTTTTTTTTTTTTTTTTTTT